AGATGTGTCTTCCTGTGAAAAGTTAGTTATGCATGCAGCTCAAAGGTCAAGAAAAACACCACAGAACACGTTACCTCCCTTATTGCTTAGAGCGAACTGTAACACCTTATACAGATGCTCAGATTTTCACTAAAAACAACTGGAAAAATTGTAGGGGTATTGCACTGGTTTCGGTTTTGATATTCTGCCTTTTTAGGGTGTGTGCAGAAAGGTGAGAAGTGGTTCTTTTTTTAATTTACTTACATGCACATTTTACTATTTATATTTTCTCTTCTACTCTAAGTGGTTATAGCAAGAATGGAGTTACTTGGTTTATCTGTAAAATATCCTTTATTGGCTAAACTAAGCTGTGAGTGGAAGTTGAGTAAAATGACCTGACATTGCCATGCGATACCTTTATACAAGAGAAGCAGCATAAACATCTTTAGTCATTAGTAACACTTTCTAACCCCTACATTTGGTTTTGTATATGTACCCAGATGTTATGTTTTATTGAGAATTTAAACTTTGGATTTTCCCATTTGAGCAAGTAATGGAGTAGATACAGCCAATTTGTCAAGTAGCTTGAGCTTTTATATGGATTTACTTTAGGGTTTGCGCTGATTCTTCTTCACAGGTTTGCTTTTGGTAGATGGAAATATTAACTTGCTTTCTGTTCTCAGCTATGAGAATATATACTTAACTTTTGTAAAAGAAAGAGCTGTTCACATGGGGCCCACTTTTTTGTTGTTTTTTTCTTTTTTTAAATCACAGCCAACATAGATATAAATGTAGGAAACTAAGTCCTTGCTAAGAGTCCTTCCTTCAGAAAACATTAATTATGCTGCATTTTAAAGATCTTTTCAGGATCATCGGCAAAAGTTAATCTGCACTTGGGAGAATTTCTGCTGGCCTGTGGAGCAACTTTAGTGCAACCAGATAGTAAATAGATGATGTACATAGGTACCTTCTGGCACTGTTTAGTATTTAAAGAGATCATGCAAGAAAATTCAGTGAAGATACCTGTATTCTGTATAATGTGCTAAGAATCACTGTAAGATCTTCAGTTTAGGACAAGTTGCCCTTCGTTCCATCAGAGTAGAACTGTGGCAACTCCTGCAGTATGCAACCCTTCTCCCCAACTTCCAAGTCCCCTAACTCTTTGGGGCCTAATTTCAGATTGCATTTTGCAATTCGAGAACAATTTTGTTAACCTGAGTACACAAGCCCTGCCTCTTGTTAAACTGAGCAATTTTACTGCATGGTTGCAATGATGTGCTTTCTAATTACAGTGAATTCTGTTTCATGGGTATGAATGATGAACAATCTAGTAACAAAATAATTTCAACTGATCACATAATTACTGGGCAGTTTTGAAGTACCTGACTGTCTTTATGCATGTACTAGTAATTTTTCTGCATCATGTGATGCTGGAAAATAGCACAGCTTAGCACTGAGCATATTGAACTACTGTAGCAAAACTCTGGCTGTGCTTTTGTTCACACAGCTTGCATTTGGAAAAGGTAAAAGAAATAATTTCTGCCTTTAGAACCACTGAAAATAAATGGAAAATACTAACATTTATGATTAAAAAAACCCCTTTATTCAGCCTGAAATCCTAGAAGGCAGATATATATTAATTCAGTTTTGTGAATGGAGGGTTGCACAAACTTGTTAACCAAAGTACTATTAACAGCATTCCTGGTGGATTTTTCCTATCTCTCTTTAGCATACCACCTCTGTAACTGACACGTGGCACGGGGGTTATTACCATATGAGATTATGCGACATTGGTGTTTGCATTTTAAAAACATTTTCAGAACCTTGTGTATTCAAAGCATCATCCTGAGGCATTGGTTGGAATAGCTAGTCAGGTTTTGTTCAGAGATCTTTGTGAGTTGTGAGAAACAAAGCGGTTCAAGTGGAGTAGGTTTTAAATAATAGAACAGTTCCCAGACAATCAGGCTATCAGCCACTTGGATGCTTGATTGAAAGAAACTATGAAACCACTGAAATTTAAAATGCAAGTGGGAAACTGAGAACATTTTTTAAATACACCAGTCAGACACTTGCAAAACCATCAGGTATCATTCTGGAGTGACGCTGAGCTCTCAAAATGCCACCTTACTTTGCAAAGTGACTTAAGAGGACTGTCAAAAGGTGAGCAGAAATCTGGGCACAGAGCTGCTAACAGCTATGATTTGGCAATCGGCATCCTATAATGGCAGTAAATGGCAAAATGAGCTCTATTTTCTTCCCATTCAGAATTAGTGTATGTAAATTCAATATTGCTCAGGAGAACGGGAAGTCGTGACATTTATTTTTGATTTCAAAACCAGAACAAAACAGTAAACTTCAATGGCTTAGCTAAAGGGACGTTTGTATCTATTACGAGAGCTCAGCTGGTTGCAGCAGGAACTGAAATGTCTTTTGCAGCTCTAGGGGAAGAAGATGGTGGTCCTCTGTGGGAAACTTCAGAAAAACTGGAATTTTATTTGTTCAAAAACCTATCTGGCAGCTGGTAGGTGCCAACAGTTCATTGGAGTAATAGGTCATGTAGAAAACTCCTCTATGTTGTTTTTACAAATACTTTCTGATTTGATATATACGGATGGCATGATGGACAGCAAATTCCTCCTCTCACTAGTTCCTACTTTAAGATTCAGCATAGCTAAAAGCATTGTCAAGTTTCTCTAAGAGACTCAGGGACAAAATTTCCTCATATTACTGAATGCCATTACAAAACAGGAGCATGAAAGTCTTAGAGACACAGAGGTCATTCAGTAGCTGGGTACTCAACTTCGTGACTGTAAGTAATGAAGTCAAAACAGAAGCGTCAGTATCTGGCTCCTGGCTACAGAGGCTTGCCATAGATAAACCAGAATTATTGTGCCTCTAGTTGACTGGTAACAAGACATGTGGCCTTGCCTCCATTGTTAGTAGCCAAGCCTAGGTTTAGGTTCCCCCTCCTTCCTCACTACTAGCTAGTCATTATAACAGACCAACGCAAATACAAGACAAAAAAGAAAAAAACAGTTCTGCTTTTTCTTCTGTACGCAGCCAAATAATATGTAAACAATGTTTAAAAACAGAAGGTACCATTCACAAGTGATGAAGTGCTGCCTTTTCTCCCAGAGACACTCAGCAGTTATCACGATCTTGCTCCCACAAAGAAAATCTCATAGTCCAGTTGACTGCATCAACGAACTGCAGAAATTTGGGGTTGCATCATTCATCAAATCTGTGAGCCCAGTGAAGAAGCAGAGGCTGTGGGGTTTGTGCATGAGGTAGCAAAAAATTGTAGAAATATACATATGTTTTAATGACTACAAGATTGTTGTTTTGAAGCTCGCCAAAATTCATGACTGTAATATGAATCTTTTAAAATAATGCTTCTGGATATTCTTTTCATTTAAATAAACTCTGTAATTGTCCTCAATCATTTTGCTGTTTTCAAGTCTCATATATCCATGCAGCATTGCAATTTAAGTGATACACTTCTTTTCTTCAACCATGATGCCTTTGTACCTTGGAGAGAAAAATAAATAAATAAACGTAAAAAGAGACTTTAATGATGCAGCCCATTTTTATTACAAAGTTTAAGGATCAATTTTAATGAATCTCGGCTTTCCTGATATGCAGAAACACAACACTAAGTTAAACTTGTGCATATAGCTTGATTATTTCTTTAAGAAAATGTGCCATATTGGTCAGTGTATGATACAGCACTGTCTGACTGATCGGCAAGGTCTTTTCTAGATTAAAAATATACTAATGCTCTGCAGGATATATTTATGTAAACATTTAAATCAAAATTATTTCTTTTTTTAGGTCATATTTTGGAAATCCATGTTGCAAACATTATAGCCTTATCTTTATAGTTTTATATTTTCAAAATGTTTATGAGCATTTATTAATTTTTTCAATTTCTTAACTTGCTAGAGATGGGGCAAGTATGTTTATCTGCTATCTGACCACAAATGGTATTTGCATTGTATATTGGACTTGATAAAGTAGAAAAAAGATCTGAACTCCCAGTAGTTTCAACTGAGAGAAACTGAGGCTGGATTAAAGTTAAAACATTGCTGTCTTCCCTGTTTTTCACCTGTTTCTCACTAAAAGAAGCAGTCACATTATAGGTTTTACATTAAAAGACATAACATTGCAAAGTACTAAAAAGAAAGGAAAGCTGGGATGGATAGAATATGCTATTTTGGCTGCAGCAGGAGACACCAAAGAACTAAATAGTTTTTAAAAAAAACACAATACAGGTGTGAACAGTGGCATGTAATTAAAGATGAGTGTAAAGGCACAGCACCAGCATGCAGTGTTAAAATTAGTTCAACTATGTCCCAGCTCCACCAAAGGAATTCTACTGGCACCAAAAAAGTGTCTAGATATGTTGAAATGAAAAGATGAGAAACATCACAGATAAAGGGAGAAAAGTAGAATGCTTTCTACTTCAAATATCACAAAAAGTTAGTTGTAATGAAATGTTTAATTAAATTACTTCAGTGAGTGACTGTCAGCACCCAAGGGAAGGAATACAACAGAAGATTATGTGACAAAACAGAGAAATGGTCATCATTCACTATAATGCAAAAAAGTAAAGCTATTCCCAAAGTTACACTTGGGGATAAGGAATGTTTGTATAAAACAGGGATGAACAGAGTGACATTATTGAAAAAGATTAGGACTTGACTCGATGCAAGCTAAGAAAGTCAGCAGTGGGATACTCTTCCCCAAAATAGGGCCAGATGCTGGAAAAGAGAATAGCGGTTGTTATGAAGGGGATCGTGCTGCAGCCACTTAGGGAATGATAAGAGAGAATCAATCAGCTTAATTTGAAACAAAGGAAATTTACTTTAGGTGTGGAGAACAATTCTGTAATTATTAGAGCCTATAAATTACTGGAATAGCTCTTATGAATTTTATGAACTTTTGCTCACTGGAGACTGAAAAGAAGAAATTAGACAAACCCATTTGGTATATTTCATGCTGCTTCATTGGACAAGGGTGGACTAGATAATGACTCCCAAATCGCTGTATCTGTGATTGTGTCTTGACTCTCCAATTACCTGAATTTTCTTCCCACAGAGGACTCCAGTATAACCAGGACGACAAGAGCATACGTTAGGCAATACACACTTGCCTCCAAACAGACACTTCTGGTTGCACACAGCTAAAACAAGAGAGGTACATATGTGGTTTTATTCATGAAAACAACTTGGTGAAGGAAAAGTGGCTACGATCTCTATATACTTATTCTGCCTGCTTATAGGAGCTGAGAACTTGGTAGGTATTGTCACAGGGAAACACCCCTCAGTGTAAGAAGACTTCAGAGTCATGTGGTGCCAACAATGTTCCTATGCCTATCCCATCTCCCATATGCTTTGATGCAGATTTAATAAGGGAACATGCTGAGGGCACGAATGAAACTGAGATAGGGAAACGAGTAAGGTGTCTTTTAACCCATCCTACTATTTCAAGCTATTGCAATGGCCTCTCAGGGCTGTTGCAGCAGTATACAGTGTTAAGAGCAAGCCACCGCGTATTGCCATGGTCCAGATTACCATCGTATGCTGGAGGGCTTCAGAAAGGGCAGAGGAATCTCTACTCATTATCCTGCCTTTGACACAGATCTAGGTTAAAATACAACCAAGATGCAGGACTTCTAGGCACTATGTGTTGCTGAAGCAAAAGGTCTACATGTCACATCATTCTTACGTGTTTGACACTGGATTCCTTCCCACTGCGGAGGACAATGACAAGTACTCGGTCCAATACACTCCCCACCATTCTTACATTCCTGAAGACAGATGGCTGCACAAACATCATCACAAAGTTTGGTTATATCCCAAGTGATTACTTTTACTTCTTAATTTACATTTCAGGATGCCCACAAGAGGTTGATTGCTTTCTATACACAAGAGTCACATCATCTTCACTGAAAATCCATCTAAGGTAACAGGGTATTACAGAAGAGAGGCAACTAGAAACAAAAAGCCCTATAGCCAAAGCACACATTGAGATGTTCTGATACATCACAGATTGCTACAAAAGCCTGAAATACTGAATGAAGTCAGCATCACTCAATAGCTTTGTTTTGTCCAAATTTACCTTTCTAAAACTTACACCTTAATGAGAGATCTTTTGTTTGTTATGCAACTTAAAACATGGTGAATCAACTCATGAACATTAGATCCAGAGTTATTTTCTAGGACCCATTTTTCTGCACATTCGTCCCTGCTTATTAAGCCATAATCTAAACCACTATTATTTCTTATTGGTTACTTGACTGTTTGATAATCAAATCTCTCTTCCACAGCATCCAAGAATATCTCACCCCTGTCAACATGGTTAATACTTTTTTCAATAAAACTTTCCAATAATTATAGAAAGTAATACAGCAAAAGCTGTTTTTCCTCCATGCCATTAGGGAGCTCATTGGTCATATCACTATCTGAGCCTCAGGTGGGTACTATGACAGACATTAACACTTTATCTACTGGATTTCTACCAACCATCCTCATGCTGTTTTTCATGCAGACTGTGCTTTTATTCACACTGCCACATTTTATTTATGCACCATCAATATCTGCATTAAGATACTATGCAACTCACAGCTGTGCTACCATCACAGTCCTACTTCTCCCTTTCCTAAAGGGCTTATGCCCATTGCATCTTCTATTCCAATCATTTCCCACAAATTGAAATTATTTCACTTCATTGACTCAGCTCTTTGCAAAAATACAGGTGCTTCTTTATTCTTGTTTAAATAAGAAAGAAACAAATATTATTTTTAATACAAGAATTTAAAAGATATTTTGGTCTCATGATTTAGCCTAAGAAATGCATGGTATTTGTTCTCCATCCTATATTTTGCTGCCAAGTTACAGACCATTATTTTTTCAATGTGTGTATATTCCTGAGTTCTTTGGCACTAACTTCATATTACTTGTGTGGACAGAGTTGTCCTTTAGTCATATATTACTTTTAAGGTATGATTCTCCTGTTAACTGCAAGATACTTACGAGTGTTACATCTTTGTCCTCTCCATCCTGAAGGACAAGAGCAAATGTTTGGCCCTATGCACCTTCCTCCATTCATGCACCTTGGCTCACAGACACCTTAAAATCAAAACCATCTGCTGTTTAATACATTTAACTGATTACAGAGTAATTTACTGGATACTTTTGGATCCTGGAAAGATTTTAACAGTGGCTTACTTTTTTCACATCTTCTGCCTGTGTACCCATCAGGACAAGTACAGACATTATTTCTCATGCAATGACCACCATTCTTACACGGCGGGCTGCAGACAGCTAAAACATACAAACAGGAGGAAAAGGCTGTAGTTTGCATTTTGTTTGACTTAGCAATACACTTCTAGGAAACAAGAGTACAACACTAGAATTCTGATAGCTTATACAGACATTCAGCACTATCAGGCCTGTCTTGTAAAAATCATATTAATGTGGATTGGTGCCTACATCAGTAGTAAAAACAAAATCAGATAAAAAGAGGTCAAGGTTGGCAACTGTATGTGTACACAAGTAACCAGGCTACATAATATATAATGGAACTGGTTGAACACTGCTGAAAAGTTGAGTGGAAGACAAGGCAAATTTTGAGTCTCCCTTCTCCTTGGACATTCACTGAACCAGCCATAAAATCTAAAAAATAATGTAATCTCTATTTTATACTGCTTCTCAGGTATATGACTTGATTGTGAATTTTGTGTCTTATGGAAACAATGTTTTCTCACAGATTTCCTCATAATGGCAGGTAAGAGGGGAGCGGAAAAGAAAAAAAAATATTACCATTCTGACACTGGGCACCAAAGAAACCATGTGGACAGAGGCAAACGTCTGGCTTAGTACAGGAACCACCATTGAGACACACAGGGTCACACCTCGCTGCAGAAACAGGGTCAGGAAGAGTGGGAAGCATGACATCCAGATAAAATCTATAAAATACCCGCTTCTATTGCAAGGAGAGGAATTAAACACCTAAGATAACCACAGGTAACACCATTCACATAAAATCTTTACCCAAAATTTTAGGATCAGTATTACTTTCTAGAGGCGTTGCCAGCAGCAGAACTAACACACAGAGACAAGACGGAGTGGAGGTGCTCTGTGGAAGTAAGCAGCTGCCCATCGCTGCTGCCTGAGCCACACGGTTCCAAGTTTCAAAGTATGGGAGGTCCTATGTGTACTCTCCCAGGAATATGGAAGTTGCTGGAGCATTACCTGTACTGCATGTAGGTCCATACCACCCAGGTTTACACTGGCAGATGTCTGGAGTAAGACACTCACCACCATTTTCGCAGTGTCTGTTGCAAACCACTACCATCCAAGAAGTTGGGCAAAAATAAAAAAGAAGAGGAGGCGGGGAGGAGAGAAAGAGGTATGTTACAAATTATGCTTGATTCATTTTTCAGTTCTTTCCCAAATATTAACACTGGAAATAACACACCATTCCACTAGTTGAAGAGGAATTGCTGAATAGATTAATCCAGTCTCAAAGCCATAAAAAGCTAGCATCCGACAATAAAGGTAAATAAAATCTCTTTTAATGTAATTATCTATGGTTTGGTTATATTCAGTGTTAAAAATCTAGAAAATTTCGAATAATTCTAAAAAAAAAAAAGGGAAATTCAACACTAAGAGACAAATGGACACTGTTACATGATGGATTTGATGGACTCCAAGAAAGTTCACTCAAGTGTCCTCCATCACTTCCGCAAGTGCAGCTGCAAGCATAGAGTGACACAAGACTAACAAGCAAAGACATTAAAATATCGTGGCTGTGGAAAACCATGAATCACTTCTTCAGGACAACATCTCATTCTCTTTAGTATTGCTTAACAAAGAGCAGCATTTATTTTTTTTCGTGTCACAACTGAAACTAGAACAAGAAAAACTAACAATAAAGAGTCCTGGGATTTGAGGAGGAGATCAACAAAGGACTTTCTCAATTCAGGGTCAATAATGCAGTGGCACATTCAGGTGAATGATATATAAACAGCATGTCTAAATTTAGGCGCTCTGAATGATAAAAATTACCAGTACGAAATCTACTCAAAATTTGGAGTTGCCAAATTGCAGCATGTAGATTTTGCTATGTAGAAGACAATTTATGTGAGATTAACTAATTCCAATTTTTCAGCTATGATCACAGCAAATTTTCCAACTTTTGTGCCATGTTCAAAAAAAAAAAAAGACCTCATCATGTGTTTCTGAATTCAGTTTTCCTGTATCTCATTTTTTCTGACTCACCATTCACTGATACCAACTTCTGAATGCACCCCAGCATCTAACCAATTTAAGATGATGTAAGTTAGAAATCTGTAAGGACATATTAAACATCTCTGTGTGTTCTGAAGGTACTATCACATACACAACATGCTATTTTTCCACATTCGTGAATCATAAATAATAAACTATTTGCAATTTTTATTGTACGTTATGTTTTCAAAGTTACATGCAAATGCTATCTAACTAATGTTCAAAAAGCCCAAGTATGAGAGCCTTCAAAGAGGCACAGGTATTATGTCATTTACTAGCATTAGACAGAGTGCATCAAAAATTTAAACCATAATTTGCTTTCTTGCTCCTGAAGAACAGGAGAAATGTTCTGTACTCTTCTCTTAATGCATTTTTGCTTACTTGTGTCACATCTTGGTCCCACAAACCCATATGGGCAGGTGCAGAGATTTCTGGCCAAGCACGTGCCTCCATTTTGACAGGGTGGTTTACAATGTGCTGCAGATACAGAATTATATTGTTCAAGAAATCACCTCTAAAAAGACACATGGATTGGTTATGCTTCAGAAAAAGGGAAATGTTAATAATTGACACTGAGCAAAGAACTGGAAATAAAATAAGGAGATGTGTGTCATGCCTTTTGACAAGAATAAGTAACAAGAAGAACTTCATTCCAATAGAGCACACAGAGTCCCAACAGTGGTGGTCACCTGAAGAAAAGAAATCTGAGACAATTTCCAGACAGGACTTCTGACTCTTCAGGAGTGTTTAGCTTAGAGGCATCTACATTCACTGGTGAACTCCTCTACTTACTGTGAAAGCTAATTTTAGGAATATCCAATCACAAGCAACATTTACAGTTTATATCAAAAAAGTAGGATATATACCAACACATTACTCAAAGAGTTCTGTTAAAGTAAAATGAACACACCTCTTTGCTGTCAGAATGAACAGTCATGGAAGTTAATTACAGCATCCTTTGCATATTTATGGATTCAAAAGCAAAAAATATTCTATTTACCTTCCTCACAAGTGGAGCCACTGTATCCTGGCAGACATTCACAGACATTGGGCTTAATGCACTTCCCATGATTTTTGCAATCAGGTCTGCATACAGCTGTGCAAAAAAATCAACAATGATCTTCAGATCATTAATTTGTGGATATGAGTTACCACAGGCTAAATCAAAATGCCATACTCACCAGCCTGACAGTTATAACCAGCATAACCAGGCTTGCATTTGCAAATATTGGGTGCCACACACTCCATATTTTTGCCACATGTTTGTCTACATCTTGCTGAAAGGCAATGAAGAAAACAAAGAAAGTAATAAGGAAAATGAAAGTGGCATTTCAGCATAACTGTGTCTTGCCTAACATAATGAACGGATCACACAGAATCCATTAGGTCCCTGCCCATAAGTGGGGAGCCTGAGACACATCAGAAAAATATTTTTAAGCATATCCATACAACTAAAAGCCTGTAGGCTATGCCAATATTAATAATGAAAATGAGAAAATTCAATACTCTATGCATTTCACTGATCACACAGTAACAATGTACTTTCAAGTTATAAAGATGCCACAAGGTTCTTTTCTGCAAAGCATTTAGTGCAGTTATTTGTAATACCTCTGCAAGTGAAGCCATCTCCATAATAACCATAAGGACAACGACCACACTTGACGCTTCCATCCTGACTTGGCTCACAAGGTACGCCAGGAAAACAGGGTAAATCGGTACAGGTTACTGCTTTAGGAATCACAATTTCACTCACTTCAGGAAGCATTGTTGGTGGGATGGTGACTTCAACAAGGACAAAAGGTAAAAGATTTGCTTTATGCTTGGCTGATAGGTGCTGAACTCTGTGAGCATTTCCAACTTTGAATACTTTGCTTGGCAAAGAAAGCCCTTTGCTTTTATTTGTTCTGCTGCTAGGAGAAGTCTTCCTGTCGGCCTCAAAATAGCTGTAGGCCTCAACTTGTGCTCTTGTTTTCTTCTCAGGTGATACAGCATGGCTCCTTGAAGATGCAGTCATCACAGCATGTACTGAAGAACTCTCTTCCATGTTAGCAAGGTGACCACTGATGGTGCTGAGAGCATGAGCAATGTTTCCAGTAACAGCAGGTTGTACAGAAGCACTTCTCTGAGAATTAAGTGATTTCCAAGCGGTGATTTTTTTTACTGTGGAGGCTAGTGGAGTGCTGCTACTGACCATTTCTGTAGAAATAAATCTCTCGGGGACATCTGTAGAACTGGGAATATAGCTTGAGATGCTTAAATCCTTCTCAAAGAATGATTGTTGAAAACCTACAGCGTGTTAGAAAGAAAGGTGGGAAAAAAGCACAGGAATATTATGAGACATTTTTTTCCTTCTGAGGGTAGGGAATGACTTCTGAATAGAAAAACGTACAGCCCACTTATTCTGTGCTTTAGAAAGTCTCTCCATGTGGTATATCAGCATATATGTGTGCAGTAGAACCTAACTCCTAACTGGCAGAATTGGAGAAGATCAAGGTATTCTGGCTACGTCCTTTCCCACCCTCACCGTGGCCTTTTCTTGGCTGGAAGATAAGGAAAAAGCACTGTACGTATAAGAGATTTTCCCACACCAGACCAATAAACAGCTTTACCGTCAGAGCAAATTACCACCTCCATATACTGCTTCCAAGTAGATAACTGAAACGGAGTTTAAAGAAAAGATACCACTTATGGTTCACCAGTGTGTCTAAGTGCTAGTAATGAGCTACAGTCTAGAAGCAGATATTTAATTGCAAGTATGTACACGCTTATACTTACTGATGCACCATGGACAGTTATTTAGGTGAATAATCCACCACCTTGTAGCAAAAATATTACCATGTTTTACTAGCCAAACTTTTTTATCGACTTTCTTGAAGCTTCTGCATGAGTTTTATTAGTGGCATGTTTCACGTGTTCTGTAAACAACAGAGACTGACTCAGCCTCCTTGTTGAAAGGAGTGCAAAGTGAATGAAAAGTTCTTCATATACAGCCCAGGAAAAGCAGATGGTCTGGTGGGTTGTGGAAAGGAGTATGGCACTGTAATCCCAGAATGGCAGAATGCCGTATATGGGCTTTTATCATTATGGGGCAGAGGAAGAATGAAACTGGAGGAGATTATCCAACCTAACTTAAGCTCTGTCCCTAAGCCCATTTAGAACAGTACTAGAAAATGGTCTACAAAAGGTTAAACTTTACTGAATCTTATTACAGAATGCTGTCTCCCACTGCTGAAAAGCAAACTGTTTTGCAGCTGATGAAGAATTATCCAGCACTGGCAGCAGACTGAGAGAGTTTTCCTCCTCCCCCACTAACAACTCATAGATAAAAGGAAAAGACACATGAGAATTTCCTGCAAAGAAAGTCCCAGCAGGCACAGAGCTGGAAATGCCAGCAACACCGTTTATGGAGTTTTAGAATTAAGACATTCACTTGCTATATCCTTCACCCTTCCTTTGAATTAAAGTAGGAAAATGGCATTCAACATAATGCCATCAACTTTTGCTTATCTCATATAACAGATGTCTCTATCCCCATGTTACCTATTTTATGTCAGTGGTTACTCACAACAACAAAAGGCAACAGTAAGAACGTCATACATCACACTGTCAATAAAAGGACTTGACTGACCTAAGGGAGTTGTTGATATTGACATTTCAGTCACATTTTTCAGAGCAGAATACAACCCCAGTAATGAATTAAATTGAGTTAAACTGAAAAATTAAAGTGAGTAACATAAAACTGACTAGAACATTTATTTGCCAGCTATATTCTTATCAGTACGTGAATCAGAAATTCCTTTTCCTTAATCAAAAAATCACCTTTTTTCCCTCCAATTTCTCCTGTGAAATCCTTTCTTTCAACATTAGTGTCTTCAAAGCTTTCTAAAAACAAAAGATGTGAAGGCACATTAGTAGTTACTTTTGCTTCAACTGCAAATAAATTACAAACGGAGTTAAAGTTTTAGTACATAAAAATAACTCAAAATTCAGAAAGCAGATAAAAAGTAAAAATTCTTAACAGTTTTCAATAGAGTATTTTAAGAATACAAGTTTTTCAGTAATTGCATTGTAAACAAATGTTTGGGCACCTTATTTGGCAAATGCCTTGCTTTGGGTTAATAGTTTTATGTTTAGCAATTTAATAGAAAAATATTTTGTCAATAATTGCTTATATTATGAAAACAATGCAGAAAAAAATTTCATTGTATTCTACTTTGATATAAAAGAATTGGCATATTTTGTATCTATTTTTTCTGGTCATCTGAAAAAGTGTTTTACAACTATGTGCAGTCTGATGTTCTCATCAACTGAGATTCTGCTCTAGCCATCAACAGAGACACAGTTCTTTTTTGCTGACTAGCAAAAGAGTTCTAAGTTACTGTTAGAAACATGAAGCACAAGTAAAGATATTTTATCTGAATGACAACAAGACAATAGCATTCTACTGAAAAACAAATAATTTTACCGTAACATGACTTCCCATCTCCTTGCAGATTATTTGGGCATGGACCACAATAGTAAGAACCAAAAGTATTGAAGCAAAATACTCCAGGGAAGCAAGGACTGGATACACATTCATCTACATCATCTCGACAATTTTCACCTGCATTAAAATACAGAATTTTTTTAATAATACTGTGTCACTAGACTTTGACAGGGTGTTTATAAAAGATAAAAGTAGAATGTATGCAGGTGCTGAAATACTAAAAGGACATCTGTCAAGTGCAATGAAGTATTTCAGTATGTCTAGTAAGTACAGCTGACTAGGTTTGCTATTCACATTTTTTCATCTTATATCAACTATCTTGCTTATTGTGCAATATGGAGAAGATGGGCTGTGAGGACCACATGCTTATCTGCTGGCATAGGAGGAATCACACTGTAACCAAACTCATCACTCCTATGTTTCACTATGTTCCTCTGCAGAGGAAAACAATGGAAATTTACTCTCATAATATAAACAACCATTGTATTAATGCAAGAAAAATCTTGATGTCACATAACTTCATCACAAGATCATAAAATTTCTTCATACTCTAACAGTAAGCTATGTAGAGTCAAAAATTTAAAAAAAAAATAGTAGACATAAAATTAGAAACTCCTATTTATCACTAAACGTGATAACTGTGTGTAAATAAAGTAGCAATTTACCTTGAAGTTCAGGTGGACATTCACAGTAATAGCTGTTTATTCCATCCACACATCTGCCAATACCACACTGGTTAAGTTTACAGTCATCAGTATTCACTTGACAGAGATCACCTTCAAATCCAGCCACACACACACAAAGATATCTTCCACTTCCAGGTGGGAAATTAATGTTTGTCACACATGAGCCATTATTTAGGCAATCACACGATTTTACACTGACCTACAAGACATGCCCAATAAGACAGTTTTGTTTTCTTAATGAACTAGCAATGAGTTTTATAATTAGATATCTTAAACATCTTACTAGTAAGTGTCATTTTACTGTAATATTCATTACCTCTATTTCTACCTTAGTCTTTGCATTGCAGTCATCTGTCAAAGAAAATGTTAATTTATGGAGATTCATTGACAAAGCTTTCCACAGAAGGAGACCTGATGGGGAAAGACTGGCACCTTCTGGACCAGAATCCAATGTGAAATGAATAGCAGAGCCCTCTGGATCTGAAGCCAAAAACTGATATACAAAATCTTCTCCATAAAAAGTCTGTAGCATACCCTGAAAAGTTTCAAGCATTGGAGGCTGGTTGTCTGTAACAAAGGAGATATTTTCCTCTTTTAAGCAAAACTTGCAATATACTTCTAGAAATTCAAATTAGCATATCTTTCTATTAAGGAAGTCACATGTAATTATTTCTCTTCAAATCTAATGTCATTTGAATAGCACAGGAAAAAAACTAGATATTTTCATTATAACTGTAACAACACAACCAAGAAATTACTTATACTATGCAAGAGCTTGTAAAGAGGCAGTGCATCTCTACACACAAAGAACTCAGAATTTACTGAATTTAGCCACTGTACTTTAACCATGCAGAGATAGTTTGCAGATGAAAGTACAGGAATCCATAAAACTCAGAGGTGATTGCTGTTTCCTTTAACAAATAAATAGACATTGTTAAATAATACTTGGGAACGGGCTGCAGTGACTATCTTGGCAAAACTGAGCATGAGGTGCACGAGGTGATGGAATAAGTGATTCACTCATTGTTCCTAGGAAGGATTTCAACCACACAACTTACTCATTTGTAAGTTTTAGTCTATTTAGATGCCTGCACTGTTGAGCTCTAAGCTATTTGGCAGGAGTAACTAGATTTCTAGAGACATCAGGTGAAAACAAACAAACAAAAACCCGTCACCAGGACAAGTTCTGTGAAAGAAAGAGAAGCCCTGGGGAGAGTGTAGGTTTTGTAGCTGGGAATAGGAAGGTGATTAAGATTGCTAAGTTTTGGGTTACAGTGACGTGACTGCTCCAAGCGGGAATCCACCCACTGTGGCAGAAAACATGAAGAGGAAGAGAGAAGAAGCTGTTATCAGTGTCTCCGCAGCTAGATTCTGACACCCTGTTCCTAATGTCATCCACTCTGGAGAAGAGGTTGTGCTCCTTGGTTTTGGGGAATTGCCTCTGGTTTACATTTTTCTCCCATTTCTGACTTTGGCAATATTGAATTCCAGTCTGTGGTTGTAACATGGAAATCCCTTGACTCCCTGACTGCTGGATGGGTTTCCTTTCATTCAGGTTTCATTCTTTTGGAACAGATATAGCTACCTTGGCTTTCAGTACAAGTTTGAAGTAGGAAAAGATTCAGCAAGACAGGCACCAGAAGTTCCACTCATACAGGACCCTTCCCAATCCAGACAGAGTCTTGCCAGCACATTCACCCACGAAAACACTGACAGAACACTTGTATTTGAGATGTTATGGAATTGGGTTGATGGGGCAGGCTGGATGGCTATTAGTAAAGCCCCAAGAGACGTCGCATTTGGTGAAGGGACCAATATCATTTGTATATCCAAAGACTAAGATCTGATCCAAAAGAGCTACAACTTCTAGGCTAGAACTTTGTATTTCGAAGAAACAAAATGAAGAATGTAGACATGGGTCTTCTTTTCATAGTGTGGTTTCTAACTGGACTGAAGGATGACAGCCTTGGATATACTTTCAAGTATTTATTTAGGCCATGTATTTATGCCATCAGTGTGGATTATGTCCAAATATTAAGTGGCTAATAAATATGACATGCCATTTAATTCAGTTTGTGTCCTCCTTCTGTTTGGTATCAGAGTCATTTGTTGGAAAATATCTTTTATTCCTAAATGTTGAAGACAAATATTTGTGGATGTAGCTGTGCCAAATATCAAAAGACTTCAAAGTGCCAATAATGCTGAGAGTTGTTAATTTTCTTTAGTTTTTTGTAATGGCTACTGGGGGTGGGGGGCAGGGCAAGAAAAAAACCACCTGACTTTTACATGTATGGTCTGGAAAACAAAGTATCATTTTCAGAAATTAGGAGAAATGTCAGATGAAAACCAATATCAAATTACAAGCTAAAGTAGTGGGTACTAAGCTTTAAATGAAACACTTAACTAGTTAAACTTAAAACTTCACTATTTCCATAAATTTAAAAACTTAGTAGATTTTAGACTTCTTGCTATCAAAAAAAAAAGCTATTTAGAACTTACTTTCAACAACTGACCAAGTTAATTTTGATATGTCAGGTCTGCAGAGTAAGCAAGGGCTGGTTGGATTTGTGTCTCCTTCACCGTAACAGAGTCCATCTATGTTGCATGTTTTCTCCTTTTAGAGAAATGACAACGCGATTCATTAATTTTTGGTTATCAAACAGTAAATCTGGATGAATTTGTAAAGTGTCAAATAAAATCTAATCTATTCTGCACTTCCACTAAAAAACTAAGGTTGTTTTTAAATCTAAACAACTGACAGTATATCTGGTTTTATTTGGTAATGATATGAAGTGCTTTTGGTTTGATTATTTCAATTCAAAACTGCCTCATCCCAGCCTCTCTTTCTGTGCTTATCATTTCTGCACATGGAAAATCCCTGTTGGAAACAAGAACAGGGTAGGTTCTGCTGATTTTTTCTCTATTTTCTTCTGCCTGAAAAGATGCACATTTTCATAATAAACATAGAGAGTAATGAAATATATACCTTTAACGTACATAACCCGGATTCTTGTGGTTCACATGTCTGACATGCTCCATCATATAATACCATTGTTTTAGAGTTGCTATAAATTAATCCATCATTAGAAATCTGCAAGATGTACAGTAAAAACGGATTAACCCATACAAGTGTCAACATATCACCAGCATGGACTGATAGCATGAGCTTCAATGCATTGATAGACACCTACATTTAGCTGTTTAAGCTCTATAATAGTCATCAGAAATCTAATCAATCTTGCCAATAAGTCTAGGCAGATATTTGACTAACCACATGTAGGTGTCTACTTTAGGGTAAACTGAATAGTGTGTAGGCTCTATTGACCTTATTGACTCAATCTGTATGAGAGCTCAGACATCCACCTCACACAGGGATTCGTACATGTAGACTGGGCTCAACTCAATTTTCCCATAAATGTGTCTAACAATTTGAAATGCTGTAGGGTAACTACCTGGCCTTTAACTTCCACTCTTGAAGAACAAGTGTTTCTCTAGGTCCTAGGTCGTACCCACCAGTCCCCTTGCAGGAGAACACTCTCAAATGGCACTCAACACTTAAGCTTAGGTGACAAAACTGAGACCCCCAAGTTAAGCAAGCTGAGTTCCACCTTTAGTACCATTAAAAAAAGGATAATATCTATGTAATATATTTTCATTTTAATAGGAATATCCATAAGTGAACATTTGAAATTTCTGCAAGTACCTTTATCTGCCACCTGGCAATGGGTTTATCATCAACCAGATCCATGACATCAGACTGCTGGCCATCATTTGGTAATGGGCAATCAACAGTCCTGGCATTTTGGAAGGCAGCTGGCATAGTTAGACGTTCCCCAGGAATCCATTGTCTATCACTGTACTAAATGTTAAGACAGAAATTCTGGTTTTCAGTGAAATACATTATGAAAATATTTTTATCAGAGAAAAAGAACATGTATTGCACAGTGTTTGAACAAGTTTAATGTCTATGGATTAGAATGCAGTGGGAAATATTAAATGCCATTATTTGCACACTTAAATTTCTACCTAAGCCTGCCACTGTGGAAGAAAAGGCAGAGAAGTCTTTCCTCCCACACAGCTCTTTGGCACTGCATTGCCAAGGACAGTTCTTCTAGCTGGAGAGTAATAGGAGGGTTAAGCAGTGGGTGATCTTCTAACAGCACTGATCTGATGTCTAAGTGCCTCCATCTCCACTCCCATGAGAGGACAAGCTTTAGTCGAAGGAACAGATGAGGTTTTTGGCAGGACCCAGGTATCATTCTGGGTGCTGGGGGAATACTGGCAGTTAGCCATTAAGCCCTTGCACAAGCCAATAGATTACACCATTAACCCTGTAGACTTTTCTTGTAAACTGCAGTGAGGACAAGTCATCCAAGGATCTATCTTGAGAGTTCAAGGTAATAGAATAGGGATGATAATACTATTTGACTGAAGTATTGATGTGGAATCAGGGATAAGCATACTGAAAATAAAGTCAGATGGAAGTAAAAATCCAGACAGACTAAGAATCAAGAGAACAGCAAGATCAAAATAATTTTGAGCTTGACTAGGTTTTACTGAGCTGGCACATTTTTTCAGTTACTAAAGCCAATCAAGACATTTATTCAATCCCAGTCCTGACATGGGGAGTCATCTGCTGATAAGGCCTTGCTTTTTTTTTTTTTTTTTAAATTGAAAAATTACAGAAAAATAAAAGTTTTTGCTGAAAAGCTGTATGAGTCATTTTTGTTCCAACCAAACATTTTGTTTTTCTTTCACCCTATACTCAGTTAAGGAATCCACAGCAAAGGTGAGTAAAAGTGTAACAGCTAAATATTTCTAAATATGTCATTTTGAGTACATTTAGTACTATAACCTTTGGAATGTGATGCAGTCTATTTCTCCAGAAACTTTTTGTTATTAGCTGGAGGCAAGTTCAGATAATTTGTTTCAGAAACATATTAACCTTTCAAAAAACAATTAAAAAACCTTCAGATCTACTAGCACTCTAGCCTGCTAGATTCATACAAAAACTTACTTCTGCATTTCAATGTAAACAAGAAGGGACTAAAACTGCATTTTTGTTTTGGGGAGGTTAAACACACTATCACCCTTTACAAAAATCTTAGCAAATTCTAGACTTGTGTAATCACAGGTTCCTTCGCCATGTCGTACCCAAACCTCTGTTCAAGAGATGTGCAGTAGTCCTGCGTCTGTGAGGTACTTCAATACATAATTCTCTGAATCACCTCTTTTAGCATCATGCCCAAGACCTACACCCTTCTTAACATGGTAGGACAGCCCATGGGCAATGGATTTGATTTAACCTTTCAAAACTGAAAATATAAAAAATAAGAAATCCAGTTTGTATTAGCTCTAAATTCTGCCAAAATGCCTCTTTTATGAAATTTTGATCATTTAAGTTTAATCTCAAAATACATGGAGTTCTATACTGTTGCAAGTCCATTGACATTTGCATAAAGTCACTGTTACTCTGGCCTGAAAATTAAACAAAACTAAACAAAACAAAACAAGCCAAACATCCTTTCTTTTGTATTTTCAAGGAAAAAATTCTCAGCTTCCTCCTCAACTGCAGGTAACAGTAGTAGTGTTCATTTGATAACCTGGCTCTCATCAGTGAGAAGATCATCAATAAAAGCGCTTAAATAGAAAGCTTTTGTAGTTGGAGCCAAATACACCACCACAAAGAGTGTTATATTGGAATATCTTGCCATGAGTTACAACTGAGACATTTCAAACTGTGATAAGTGAATTCCCAATAATTGTCTCGCTGTGAGCTTGATCTGAAAGTCTTTCAACCTAATGGAGTGTAAACTTACTCTCGACTTTATCGTTTCAAGCCAACTTGCAGATGAGTGGAAACACATTGTGTTTCAGAAAAATCTATAGCCAGCATTGCTTTATCTGTCAAAATAATTTTAGCATCTGCTGGAACTAGCTAAGAAAAACTTTTGTCTCAAGAATAAAATTTTCTCATTGAATGGTTCCCCTTTCGCCATACCCCCCTACACCATCATCACATCAATGAAAACCAATTTTACTTTGAAGCTCTTTTTATTCTCCTGTCTAATATGACTTAAAAACTTGTAATTGCCAATTGTTTATTCCAGGCCAACACTTGTAAACTGCTTGTAAATTTGCCTTGAGCAAATTCTAGATCTGACTAACAACAGTGTCTCTATACACGTTCCTCTTAGTTTACAGTGCAACATTTTTAATCTCCTGTTCAAACCTGAAGTATAGCGCTGACATATATTATTAAATAGCCATGGTATTCTACCCCAGGGAAATGGACAACATATCAAAAATGCCTTTCTCTTTCTGTATAGATTTATTATGTTTATAAAAGGGCTATCTCAAGCATTAGATTTGAGACAGAAATCTAGTAATGTCTCTAACCTTGCCGTCCCTTTTCAAGGAAGTGGTATTTCAATTGCTCTCCATAAGCACTTTAAAAAAACGAAACACTGTGTACTGGTTGTTACTAACAGGGCTGCCCTTGCCCTTTTCTGATGGATAGCTGGTGTATGCTGTTATCTCCCTCTCGGCTGCTGAACATTCCCATTATGTTTTGCATTTCTCTTATCATGGAGGAAATGGCAATCTTGCAAAGACTTGAGTGTCTGCTGCAAAGTGCTGAGTGCCATTGCTTTTAGCTTCTACTAAAGCATTGGGTTGCACCCACATCAATGAATAATACGTTAGACAGTTTTTCCCTCATTCTCTGAGAAGTCTAAAATGTAATTGTTACTATTCAGGGGGACCTACCTGTAATTTGATAATTTCACATTTCAGATTCAATGACTCCCTGAAGCCATGTCCAAAAGCTTTCACTGATGTGCAGTCATACTGTCGAATATCGCACAGCCCAGCATTCTCCAGCTCTGTAATTTCTGGAGCCTGGTCTTCAAAGTAGAGATTAGACAATGAATGTCACAATACATTCATACGCATTTACATCAAGCAATATGTTTATTTCATTATCCAACTAAGAAAACTATGTCAACAATGAAATCTGGACCCAGCCGAAGAAAGGCATAAAGAGAAACATTTTTTATTGTTAAAATGAATCTTAACTTTAAAGTTAGGCTTTTGTCTTCTCTTGGAACTTGAATACATTGAAGCAGAGAAAATATTCATCTGATAACAAACACTTGTGAATATGTGTTTTGCTATCTCATCTATGGCTCTATACATCACATTTACAGAATAAAATCTAAGTGAAACTCAGGCCCTAGCAATAGGAACTGGAAAGGTTAGAGTCATGCAATAATTTAAAATGGGAATTCTTTTGTTTAAAGACGAAACAAAAACATCTCAGGTGGAATTTATTTCAGGAAATAAACTGACAGATTTGAACACTCAAAAATAGTTTTTATGAAGCAAAATCAGTTTATTTGACTTCAAGAGGAATAAAAGATTTCTTTTTATTATTCTCTTACCTCTTTCTCTATTTGCTTTTAAATAGGTCACTAAAATAAAAACACCATTGCAAAACAAAATATTTTTGTTTTGTTTTGAAAGGGTTTTGACTTTTGTAGTACTTTTCATATTTTTCCAGTGTACTTGCTTAACCGAATTTTTAATGAACTACTTATTTACTGAAAAAAACAAAACAAACCAAAACCCTGCCCAGCTCTATTTGCTGTACTTCTTTTTTCTTCACCATCAGTTCTGCTCCCACGACATCTAGCAGTTAGCTTACAGAGATGTAACATCACCAAAGAGAAAGACATCCCACTTACAGTTAATAAACAGGATCATATAGATCAAAAAATTACATACAAAAAAATTAGGAAACGGATGGATGCGGCAGGTCTTCCCTTAAGAGGACAGCATGTGGAAACATTGCTAATCTCTTGGGACAATGCTCTGGATTGCAAACTCACTGAGTGCTAAATTTTTTAAATCTGACATACCAGAAACTAAGCCCATGTTTTGCCCTTCAGAAACAAGAAGGCCGAATAGAAAACAATTATGGCTGTATTAAACTGGAACTACATTGTTGGATAATGAACAGGGCCACCATGTATGTCAGCATACAAAAGCAGGAGAGAAAAGCAGCAAAATAAATGTATGTTGCACAAACATTGAGAACATTATTTAAGTAAATCTTGTTCTTTCCCCCGACTTACCAGACAATATGCTGCAGTCATATGAGCTGTAGCCTTGAAAACATGCACAGCCCCATTCTGTACATTCCCCATTACCACTGCAGAGACTGGGACACTTTAATGCAGTAAGTAGACTCTCAACCGACCCTTCAAGTTCCTGTTGGCTGTGATTTATTTCTTCTAAAACTCTTTTCTCACATTCATTCTCTAGAAGAGCTAAGGAAGCTTCTGCCCAACTGAGGTCATCTTTCAGCAGCAAATCTTTAACACACATATTGATCGCATCCTCTATTCGCTGGCCAAGAAGACCACCACAAGATCTTCCTATACTGGAATTAGCTATTGCCTGCTGGCATAGTAACAAAGCACTAGACTCGGTGAGGCCAGAAGGTGTGGGCCAAGAAGGAAGAAACTTTTGATCTGTGTCAGTGGCGTGGTCCTCTGGGAAAAAATAACTATATCCCTCTAAGTCTGTTTGGCTAAGACTTTGGAATAGAAATACTGGATGGTATTCATAATAATTTTGGCGCTTCCCCCTACTTGTAACAGATTGACTTTTATGAAGATGACTACTGTAATGGTGAGAATTTCTTACAATGCCTGAGCTTGAGGTTCCTTCTCTTTCTACATCAGTATTTCCCACTAAGGTTGCAGAGACACGTGTCTTCACTAGTGATGCTTTGTGAAGTTTGGTTTGATTATCCTCCCTCTGTAGAAATGTAGATGAACCCATCTCATGTGCAGATGAACGCTTCTTTAAGCCTCTAACAAGATCAACAGGACCGAGATACTCAGCAGTGACATCCAGTCCTGGTATCAAAGAAAGAAATCTACCATTTTCACTTTCTTTACAAGACAGAGGAAGTTCTGAGTGAGAAACTGTCTCTAGTTTATTCACTGATCGATATAATTCATCATCTTCAAGTGTGCAGTCACAGAAGACTATTTTTCTAGAAGATGCTAAAGAAGCAGGTATCTTGTCAAACAAGCTATCTCCTGGTGAAATTCTAGAGGAGAAAGAAAAATATGAAACTGTATCTGAACTATTTTCATTGTTTTAGTACAGCATTAACATTTGTTTGCTCTCTGTTGTTTCATACTTCTACAGCATAGAGCACAGAATCTGCAGCATACAGCTATATTTAAAGTCCAGTTAAATCATAAACCCATGAAAGTAACTTATAACAGAAGAATTGGGAAGAGTGGACATTTTCTGTACACCTTGACACTTTGTTCAAAACCTACTCAAACTAATCTTACATCATACTACTTAAATACTAATTTGGCACTTCAATTTCAATTTTCTCTTAAATTAATTATGGAATGTAATGATGGTATTTTAACATTAACTTAAAAACTTACGAAGATTTTTTTATTATTATTATTTTGACAAGTTTTTAAGAGTGTGAAGGAAAGGTTGAACCAAAAATGATGACATTTGATTGAAACAGAAGTATTTTGTTACCTCCATTCCTTAATAAAAGAAAAAGGAACATTAGCATGGTTTGGGATTTCCATCCCACTTGCAGTGTGATAGTCATTCTCTGCACTTCCGTCAAAGGTGCCACAGAGTCCCATTGTATGTCTGTAATCTGAACTGGGTGCCCTAAGTGTTATGCTCATTCCCCATTCACTCACATCAGCACGAACGAAAGCTCCGGAAGAAAACAAAACCTAAAAAGAGATTGACAATATCATCATGAGAAACATGATTTTTATTTTACCTACTAAAACCAGGTATGTTTGTTGGCAAGGAACAATTGGAAAAGGCCAGGCATATAAAGACATCCCAATAAATTCCTGCTCTAACTATTCTGGATCAGGCAAATTTCATTATTTCTTCTTCTTGTGAAGCCCTGTAAATAAAAACCCTATACATCTCAACCTTAGCAGGCAGCTAGGTCCATGGGAGCAGGTGCACTATAGGTCCATGAACTTCATCCATCATTAGCAGGTATACTGTGGAAGGTCAGTGACTGCAAAACCCCAGAGAATCAAAGACCAAGTGCGCTGCTCACTCTTCACATGCTAGCATATGGAAAGGGATGATTCTGGCAATATGAACAGACTCTTTGGCAGCACCTTTCTCAACTTCCTTTTTGTCAGCTACATGATTCCCTGTATTAGTAGCTTAACATAGAGTCACTTTCTACTTGCAAAGCTGATCCTAAATGTTGCAGATAGCTCAGAATATTCTCAAATATTTACTATTTCATTTTAGGCAACTTTACACTCTCTTGAAAGAAATACTAGAAGTCTCAAGAACAAAATCTCCTGCAAGTTTAAATGCTGTTTGTACTATTAACTTGCTGTACAAATCTGAGCAAGTCACTTAATTTTTCTGGTTTCTCAGTATTCTTTTAATTTCTCTATTGCCTAATGTTATCTTAATATTTCGTATCTGAGGTCTTCAGACGAAGTGCTTCATATTTGAAATAGTCTTATACCAACAGCCAAACCCAAGTTCAAAAGTCATATCTGTTTTTATGGCTTGCTTTCCAGACCAAAAGAGTGATTAAAGAGTAGTTGCAGGCTTCATTTTTATATTCTGTTTCATTTGAAGTTCAGTGGAGTACTACAGCAATTCTATCTACAAAAGAAAAGCTACAGGAAATTATAAAAGCAAACATGAATGTTTTATCTGAGGGCCACATTCTCTACAGAAGCCATCTACACTTCTAATTCTGTGGATGTCATCTGGCATACTTAATTATCTGCATGCACAGCTTTCCTATATGACACTGGCATGAGCAAAACAGAGCACACAAAGACCTCATTTTGGAACATTAGGGCTGCTAAGTAAGTGCATATTGAATCTGAAAACTGCACCTTCCACACAAGGGTAGTATACTGTGAATGACAACATGTTTCCAAAAAGGTATGCATGTTGAGACATCCTTGTTTTTGAGGACAACGTGCTTCCCTTACAAGCAAAATATTCATCAAAGAACTACAATTGTAAAATAAATATTATTAAATTGCTTAATTGCAGAAATAAAACATGGTTTAGTTCTGAAGTTGGTGTGAATTGGTAAAAATATTTGCTGAGATAACCATTACATCTACAAGCAATTATTTACTACTTACTGTTACTTTTCTTCCTAGGTAGGATTCAGTGATTCTGACATTGCTTCCTGTTGTGTCTCTATTTATTACAGTTAAGTGTGGCTGTGACTCACGTAGCTGACCACTGCACATGTCAAATGCAATTATATCACTTCCTTCTTTGGCAACAAAGCCACAGTTACAGGATGCTGGGTAGTGAAGACTTCCACAGTCCCACTGGCGAACATGAACTTCAAAATCTCGAGACGTACTCTTATAGAGAACAAATGTTCCTGTTTTAAAATTGTCATAGAGTCTGGAATCAAAAGAAGAGTGTGTGATATCACTTTGATTACAAAATAACTGTATCACCACATGTCAGCAACTTTATCTTAAAATAGATTTCTAATATTTGGTGAACTTTGATACTGCAACTCATTTTCCTGCATCAAAAAAACTAAACAGTACAGCCCACAAACCAACACACAACTTTGTTCAGAACAAACACCATCCTATCTTCCTCTGTGCAGCTCTAAATCAAAAAAATTAAATCTGTTTTACAACAGAAAAATAGGGAATAAAAGAAGGATCATGAATGGAGTATATGTAGACAATGCTTGTAAATGGAAACATAACCATGAAGTCACTGCCATTCTTTGATGTCTTTTTTAACAACAAGGAACTGGAGGGTACTTCTCAACCTCTGTGTTTCTACAACAGCACACCTATGCAACAAGAGCAATAAGATGCAGAGCAGTGAGCATGTGGGGAGCAGCTGCTGAAAACTGCATAAGTACCCTTGACAAAATGATTTAGAAAGACACACACTTTTAAAAAGGTCTGCTTTATTAAGATGGAGATGGACAGTGCTTATTCCCAAAGATCTGAAAATTATTTAAGATGAAAACCATAAACAGCTACTTTCTTTTTTTTTCCTTAGGGTTAGCCATCTGTTCCCTGAAGCAAGGTTAAAATAGCCAATTTATGATTCAGTGCTGAGGAAAAAAAAAAAAAAGAAAGAAAGAAAAAACCCCAAACTTTTGCTGCAAGTTTAACAGCCTCTTGGCTATAAACGGCATTTGACAGTTAATTGCAGAATGGTGATTTGCTTTGTGTATAATAGGCCAATGGGCCAGCAGTCAAACTGCAGATGGCTACCCTACTTGGACTGCACAGGATTACCCATGATTTGGGAAGGACAGTTACTTTTCTATTTGTTTGCTCAATCTGTACAATAAAGTAGCAACAGACTTTATCCTTAAAAGGAAAGTTCTTTCCTCGCAGCATCGTGCTTCCTGCCAGATCATATCACCATAAATCATTGCTTCATAAGAAAGCATCGATGGTTAAAATGCCCAGTGAAGCCATCCCTAAAATTTCCACTGAAGAAGGAACTGCAAGATCAGGATAACCCCAGTGACTTTATTATTATTATTATTACTAGTCACAGTGCTATCAGAGAAGCAATTATAACTTGTCTTTTCCCTTCTGTTATCAAGTTCACAAGAAGAGTCGGGTTTTGGGCTGAACATCCTTATCTGGAGGCAACATATCCACTTCTTCTCACCCTGCCACTTGAAGAAATGTGCTTCTGCTGAGCAGAGAATATAGAAGTTCCACATGTGGAACCTGTGTTTGTTTTGACAACTTCCATGAATTAGAAACACTTTGAAAGACAGAAGTTTACCAAAAACATGCCAACTGTGGCCAGGGAAGCTGTCTTCACTTTAGAAAGGTCAGTGATGTGCAAGTGACAGCAGTGAATAAGTCGCTTTCAATGCCATTAATGAACTCAGCACAATGTTACGCAGACAGCAGATAGCTCCTAGCAACTTGATCCTTACAAGGATTCAGATATTGACACCCAGAAATAGGGAAACTATGCTGTAGATTGGAAACACCTTTGCATTAAAACAATTTTGCCTTATCAATCATTTTATCATTGTTCATATTTAATAATATTTCTGTCTTTCATAGTCAACAGACTGTATAGCAACCACTCTCTCTTGGCATACTCCTCTAAAAAGGAAAATAGTCCATTTGTTTCACTCTTTTGTCACAACCCCAAAACTTGCATTTAGGAATACAAATATTAAAATATTATCATGACTGCCAAGCTTTTACTAACTAAAGCATGTTTATCCTTATTGTCCAAGGAAGAATGTAAAACATAGAGTGTAGCTGTGGAAAACTACAGCTAACTTTTATCACCAGCACAGATTTAAAATCAATCAATCAACTCCCCAAAAAACACACACAAAAAATCCCAACACACAAAATTAAGAGCAGCAATACAGTGATTACCTTCCATCAAACGTAATTATATGAGGGTCAGTAAATGAGTAGCAGTAGGCAGTGGGTAGATCCTTTACTGTAATCTTCAAAACAAAGAAGCACATAGTAAATCATGTCAGCTTAGGAAATAAACAGACTCAGACACATTATTTATCTCATGATACTAGTTTACATTGTAATAAATATATTATAGTATACTTTTAATCAATCTGAGTAGTTCTATCAATATTAAAATATTTTTAAAATAATTCAAATGAAAATGCAGCATTTCAATGAAAATAAAACAATGGAAAATTGACCACTTAGAAATCTTGGTGTCAGTCAGCAAGTCACAACTGAAATAGAAGCTTCATTAACACCAGCCACATTTGTGGCCAGTTGACAGAACTTAACATGAAGATTTTCAACCTGTGTGCTTTCTGGAACATAGCCATTCCACAGGAAATTCTCACTGGATATAGGTTTGACTGCAATTCTGGTAATTCTGTCTCCATCCTGCATAAAGTCTGTCACAGCAGTGAAATAAATTACAGCTTGACTACAGATTCCGTTATTGCAGGGTTTCTGGAGAAGATCCACATGACAAGAAGAAAGAGCCAAGTTTAAACCTAACTGCTCTTTACCTGTTTTAATGAAAACACATCATTAGTGAGTTTTCCTCTAAATAAGTCACATTTTGTATATTACTGTTAATATAGATACTAACTTATTTACAAACATTTTCATAAATTAAAATAATTATGCATTTTTCTTGGGTTTGATAATGCAAAATCCCCTCTCTACAACTTCATACACACCCCCAAGAAAATGGTTTTGAGTTTTCCTGTTTGATAGACAAATGGAAATCACAATAGGTTTGCTAATGTGACATAGAAATGGTTGTCTGCATAGGTAAGGCTCCTCCTGGGGTCCACAGGACTTGTGCTTGAGGAAGCACTACAGAAAACAATAGTAAAAAATGAGGACTTCACAACTACATATACAATACTTGCAATACAACAGGTCAACATTGAACTGCATTATGAACTTTGCAAGTATTACAGTATTCCGTCTACTCAAGTTAAAGAATATGGCTCAGACATCCATAGCTGCCAAAACCACCTGCTAAGTTCGACAAGTAAGGGATCAAAGACACATTCTTCCATACTTTCAGCAGCAGTATATACAGCCTGTGAATACTCTGTTTTAACATTTTATAAAGTGTTTTACACTGTAACAGCTTCTCCAAAGAAGA